TAGTGGGGAGCACTTTGCCCTAAAAGTAGGTGTATCTAGTGTCCTTGCTAAGAAGGATTAGGGCCCAATCCTGTTCTCTATGAAGTTGATGGCAAAATTCCCATTTACCTCAAAGGCACAGGATTAACCCCTTACTGAGCATCACCTGAAAAGCAAAGGAAGAGAGAAGTGGAGAGGAAGAGAAGACAAAGAAAGAATGTGAAAGGAGATGATGATAAAGAAACTAAGGGGAGAGAATGGGTAGAGGAGTGGGCAACAGGGGATTTTTAAATGTACAGTAATGAATCTGCTCCCTTCACCTCCTCCCCCAGGAGCCTCCTGGCAGATGGGCAGTTTCAGCCTTTGTGTCTGTTTATTTTAAATTATAAACATGAGTCATAAAGGGCCTGAACTTACAAATGCTCAGCGCCTCCTGCAAAGTACAGAGCACTCTCAACTTCACTGAGTGCCACAGCAGCCAAGGAACGCAGCACCTGGTGCAATCCAGGGCAGGGAGCACAGTTCGGAGCCTGTTTGCAAACTTGGCCAGTCACTTAAATCTGTACCAAGACCCCCTAAATATCCATTTTGGGCACTACAGTAAGTGCTGGCACTTACCACCACAAAATGCTTGTCTCAGCCTGCTGTCCTTGACTAACTCCAACATGTAGAACATGCGCTTCAGGGTCGTTTCCACATGAGGGATACACTTAAGTGCTGCAGAGAAAGGCCAGAAGAGAAGGAAGAAAGATAATCAGCTGCTCTCCGCCTTCTTAGAACACACTTAGAAACACCGTGGGGCAGGATGCTATGGGCTCCTAGGCCATTTTGTGCTGCGTAAGCAGAGCAGAATGGCTTTAAAGCAGCCATTGAAAGCCAGTGCGGGATTCACCCTGAAGAGGGGAATCCTCCACCAGTGTACAGCTGTGCCCGATGCTCAACTCACTCTCAGAGTAAGGGGAGAGAGCACTGGGGCGGGATGGGAAGTGAGGTGGAGAAGAGCTCCACTAGACCTGATCTTCCACTCATTCCCATCCTTAAAGAACTTCAGTCAGAGGCATAAGAGCTTGCACCTCCATCTGGATAGCTCATGATCTGGAAGCCAAGAACTAGCAACAGCAGTTAATCTTGTGTCTCTCCCCACACACACCCGCATGCACACACTCAAACAGAGCTCTGTTTAGCTGTAACATTTTTAGGTAGAGAGAGTAATCCCCTGTCCTTAAATGAAAGACAATAACTTTGAAACAAAAGATGGAAGTTACCATACCATAGGCTGATGACAGGTTGCCCAACGTAATGAAAATAAACTCTTCAGGCAGCTCCTGTGATTTCAGATGACACTGCAGCTCGTACATCACCTGATTGAAATAGTAGCATGCCAGGGTCACTAAGGTGTTGCTAGCTGCCACTTTTAGTTCATTTGTTGCTTCCTAAAAAAAAGAAGAGAGAGAGAGACTGAGGTGACTGAAGCCGGTTGCACTAGCCAGAGTCCTTATTTCTGTGCATAAGTTGTGAATGAACCCTCCCAACTTTCTGTGGCTAGAGTCATTAGTCATAAATATTAATAGAGTCATTTGGCTAAACAATTTTCAGCCTTTGAGTTCCTTGCAAGCTGCTTAGTTAGACTATTTACTATTAGCTACTTGTGGTGGATGATTGGTCACCATAGTCACATGATATTTTCCCCTGCCCTTCCCTGAGGAGGTAGTGAGACACAGACTGGGCAGCTTCAAGATATTCAGAGAGCTTTCCTGGGATAAACTGTCCCCCAAAAGGAGGCTGACTTCCTTTGGAACAAGAGAGGGATTTTTCCATGGGTTTTCCTGCTGGCAAACTATATTCTAAATCCAATGCTGCTTCTTTTGGAGATAGCTCAGATTCTGTCTGTCTTGGGGCTTTATTCTGCCACTTATCGCTATAGTATCAGAGCACCTTCCACATAACATCAGTATCAATAATGAAATCCCTAGTAGACTTCGGGAAAAACTTGCTCATTAAGAAACCATAGGCCTGTCTCTGTGTCTGATATCATGTGTCTCGGGTCCTGATCCTGCAAAGCACTTAAGCACATGTGTAACGTTCGCATGTGAGTTCTCCCATCCTATGCAGGTGCACAAGTGCTGTCTAGGACCTGGGCTTTGGTCTGGAGGAAGGTGTGGGCCTCTAACAGGAGAATACATTTTCGTTTCAATATATAGTTTACCCCCTCGAAAGAGAGAGTTTTAATTAGTTAAAGCTTTGGATCCTTTGATTAGTATCTCGGGAGAACTAACTTACCTGAGTCTCTCTCATGTGGTTTGAGGCTAGGGTTATTATTTTGTTCCGTAGCCTTCTATCTAGGCCCCCGGTGTCTTGCTGTAATACTTTTCCCAGGACACAGTAAATGTCTGCTGTTTTGCTGGGGACAAAACATAAAAGAGAACAAACAATTGGGAAAAGTTTTTTTTGATGACCACACAGGCTCTGGCGTGGGGCTTGCAGCTGCATAGGACGTGGGGCAGGGTTTCGGCGACGTACCCGCACTTCCTGCAGCGCTTGTCCCGGTTCCCGTGGCGGACGGCTCCGTTGAGGGGGACGCAGTTCAGCCGGGCGCGGTGTATGAACCGCCAGTCGGCGAACCGGGTGAAGCTGCCCGTGGGGAGGAAGTGGTTGCTGGAGTCCCACTTGCTGGTCACCTCAAAGGCCTTACCCTGCTCCGTTTTTTTCTTCAGGGTGTCCACGTAGAGCGGGTGGACGGTGGCCTTCAGAGATCTCTCCAGCACGCCTCTGGCTCTGGGGGTGACGATGGTGTTGTCCTCCGTCCCGATCCGAGGCACCAGGACTCCCAGCTCCTGTCGTTCCTCGCTCCATAGCCAGCGACAGCCCAGCCGCTTCCCCAGTCGGTGCGTGGCATTGCGGGCGCGGGACCACAGCGAGGCGATGTCGCCCCCGTCCCGGGCGAACTCACTGTCGAGGGAGCCGCTCAGGAAGGTGGCCACATCCCGGTCGGAGGGAGGTCTGCTGATTCACTTCCCGATGACGGCGCGCAGGGCGGTCGTCGCAACATTCCTCACCTTAGCGTCCAGGCACATCAGGAGGCGGAAGGCATGCATGATGACTGCGATGTCACACAGATCTCCCATGCGGGGGACGTTGGCGCCACCGTGCCTGTGCGCAATGTATACGAGCTCATTACTGGCTCTCTGGGGCAGGGACAGCCATTTCTTGACCAGCTGCCGGATGGTGTTGTCCGCCTTGTTGAGAGGCACCTTTGCCACGGCGGATCCTCTCAGGACGAAGGAGATGCGGGGGATCAGGAAGGTGTTGAGGGCGTTGATTTTCTGCCATGGCACCAGCAGGGATGCGTCGATCTTGGCGGCGTCCTGCAGGATCTCCCGAATGGTGTCCTCGGGGGTCTGCCGGACGCGGAAGCCCGTTGGCGTGCCAAGGTGCTGGTACACCTGCCCCTCCGCCAGGGGAACGACGGACTCGCCCTGGATGAGGAACTCCGTCGTCAGTACTGAGTCCCTCTTGCTCCCGTCAACTTGGAGGGACGCGCACTTCTTGGCATTGAAGCGGAGTCCCGTCCAGTCCGCGGCTCTCCCGATGGTGTCGAGCACGCCCTGGAGCCTCTCGGGGTCATCCGCGATCAGGACCAGGTCGTCCGCGTAGGCCAAGACGCTCACCCTCTCGCCGTGCAGGTCGAAGCCATCAGCACCGTCGGAGATCGCCCGCAGGAGTGGCTCCATGGTGAGGTTGAAGACGATCGGGCTGAGGGGGCAGCCCTGCTTCACGCCGCTGCGGATCGGTATCTCAGCGGTCTCCCCTTCTACCGAGCGGATGGTGGAGCTGCAGCCCTCGTATAGTTCCCGGATCAGGTGAAGAAAGGTCTCCGGCATCCCAAACTCCTGGAGTGTGGGAAAGATGTGGTGGTGGGGGATGGACCCTGAAGGCATTGGCCAGGTCGAGCCACGCTATCGCGCACTGCTTCCGCGTTCTCCTGGTCATCTGGATGACGGTCTGGAGCAGGAAGTTGTGCTCGTAGCACCCCTCTGACGGCATAAAGCCCTTCTGGGTGGGGCTGATGGCTCTCCCGGTCGTCGCCCACTCCGTGATCCTGGCTGCCAGGCAGCTGGCGTATAGCTTGTACATCGTGGAGCAGAGGGCGATGGGGGTCTCCAGTTGCTGGGGTCGTCTCGCTCGCCCTTCTTGTGGATCAAGACGGTCATGGCCTTCTTCCAGGAGGTGGGAGATCGGCCGAATCGCTTGCACAAGTTGAAGATGCTGGAGAGCACGAGGCAGCCGGGGTCTCGCTTCTTTAGGAGGCTGTAGGGGATGCTGTTTTTTCCAGGTGCGGTGTTCTTGGTTCTGGAGAGCCTGGCCATCACCTCTTTAGGCGTGAAGTCGGCCTCCAGATCGTCTGCATTGGTAACGTGGGGCAGGGGGAGGAGGCACTCCGGGCGCTGCGCGTTGTTCCTGGGCACGCCGCCGAACACTCCATGGAAGTAGTTGTGAAGGAGCTCGGGCGGGATCGTGCAGTAGGACGGGGGCCCGTCGAGGACCTCTCTTATGGCCTTGAGGAGGTTCATCCGGTACAGCTTCTGGATCCTTGAAGCCGCTGCCGGGTCGTAGCGGCGGCCGGTGTTCCTCCTTCTAACTCCCCTAGTGTTGGTGTCGCAGTGCAGGATGGGCCGCCTGGGGGCAGGCTGGATGGTCTCCTGGTTCGGTGTCCTCCTGAAGGCAATCTCCGTGGACAGCTCGCGGGTGAGTCTGTCGATGAGCAGGTCGAATTCCATGAAGGAGGTTGTCGCTTGGAGCTCCTTGATCCAGGCGGCCTGCCAAGGCGTGGCTGGCCTAGCCTTCGGCCGCTGGTCCTCAGGCTCCTCGGTCGGCGTGGGCAGTGAGTTAGTCGCGTGGTCGATGGGTTGTCTCGCTTGTGGTTCGGGGGACTTTTCGGTTGGTTCCTGGGGCATAGTCGCCGGTGGGGTAATATCGTTGCTGGTGGAATCTGGATCGGGTCAATGAGTGCGGGGGTGATGCTAGATCTTCCGTGTGCGGCTGTTGTCTGGGGGATTGCTGTGGAAGCGTGCGACCTTCTGGCGGCAGGGATCGGTCTGGTGGCTTTTGGGGCCGTACTGGTCCGTCTGACGATGGGGGACTGGTGCCGCGGTCTGGCTGTGGCGTTGACTCCTCTGACAGTAGGAGTTTGCAGAGCGATCTGGGGGGTGGACCCCGTACCCTCGGCGGGTGGGGTTCGCGGTGCAGGCTGGGGAGTCGCGTTGGCTCTTCCTGTGGTTGGTGCTCGCAGGGTGGCCTGAGGGCCGGCGTCGGTTCCGCTGGAGGCAGGATTTTGGGAGGCCACGCGTGGGGTCACGCTGGTTGGGCGTCGTGAGGGCACTGAGACGCCTCAGCTAGAGAGCTTCTGGGCGACCTGGGAGGATGTGACGGGTCTCCTGCTGGCAGGGGCTCGGTCGACGTTTCCCGCTGCGAGAGGCGTCGTCTTGGTGGTGGGGCCCTGGCCCACTGGTTCAGGGACTGGAGTGGGTTTCAGGGTAGCTGCTGGAGGGGGCGCCCAGTTTCCTTGTGGCACAGGAGCAGCGGGCCGGGGCCCAGGAGGTGGAGGGACCGGAACCGGGGCCGCTGCTGCACGGGCTTTCTTGCAGCTGGCTTGGTGTGCCTTGCATCTCTTCTGGGACTCGAAGGGCAGGGGCGGGGTGGCGCTCAGCATCCCGATCCTGGGTCGTCAGGGGGGCTCCCGCGGTGACATCCTTCCCAGCGGGGTGGCGCTCAGCATCCTGGTCCTGGGAAGCGGGCAGGGTTCTCCGGGGGTCCTCCTCCTGAAAAGCTGTTGACCCTTACCTCTGTCAATTACCTCCTGCTCACTCACTGTGACAATGTTAGGACTCACCACTGCGGCACCTCCTACTGGTCATCTCGGGGAATTGGTTCGATCCAGTAGAGCGCCCCTTTCTGGTGGTGCCCCGTCTGTCGTCCCGCCTTTGGTTGGCGTGTGGACCCGCGTTGCTCCCGACGCACGGTGTCCTCTTCTGGAACACTGCCCTCTGACAGTGTCCTTTTGTCCATTCACACCCCCTTTCGGGGGCTGGATGATCAACAGTCGTACACCTCCAAGTCCGATCCCTACAGTCTAGGATCTGGTGTAGTTTCGGCTGGCCGCTCCCTGCGGCCTATGGCTGGGTGTACTGCCAAGGGGAACAAAGGGGGGCGGGGGGACCCAGGCCCGCCCACTACTCTGAGTCCCGGTCCAGAGGCCCTCTGGCAACAGCCTCGCTGTTCTCCTTCTCCTTCCTCCTCTGTCTGTTCCTCTGGACCGTTTCCCCAACGGCCCTTCTTCCCGCTAGGCTCTTTCCTTCAAGGCCTGCCGCCTGGCAGGCTGCGGAGTAGGACCTTCTCCCGCTCTCCAAGGCTGGCCTGCACTGCGCTGTCCGTGGTGCTGGCCTCCCAGCTCTGGAGACAGACAGACCTTCCCCTCTGAAGGCCTGGGACAGACTGACCGCTCCTTCCCTGAGCAGTCTTTTATATGGCTGAGCCTGGCCCTGATTGGCTGTCCCCAATCTGGGCTCCGATTGGCTCGCAACAAGCCCTTCTCTTATTGGCTGCCGGGATATGGAGGCACCCGGGCCTGCCACAGCCCACACTCTCCGGGCGTGGGGCAGCCGCCCCACCACACTCACCAATTTATTCATGTTTTAATCTTTCCTCAACACTTCCTCCAGTCTTTTCTCCAAAGAGCTCCCGTATATATATATTTTTTCACTTCAAGGTCCCAGAAACACAGACAAGGTTTTCATCTCAAGGCCAAAAGACCAAAAACATCAAGACACTTGATCACGGCCTTGGATAGACCAAGAGACTACTTACACTTGACCAGAATTTGGTGTGGACACATGGAAAGCAGATGTAATTTCATGAAACTTCCCTACCTCATCCTGTTGCAGTTTCTCCAGCAGAACTGTCACAACGATAGCCAGCTTGGTCTCAGCTATAAAGGCAATCCTGAGGGCAATTTTGCCCTTATCTTGGTCATCCATATGTGCCAGGAGGGAAACAACCTCATTATAAACACCTGAAATTAAATAAAAGGATTCGGCTGGTTACCACTGATAGTAGAAATTGATGCCTGCCTCTTTAATTCATTATCTAGTAAAGATTCTGCAGAAGCCCAAACACTGTGAGAAGTAGACCTGGGAATCATGTAAATCCTCTTCCTTGCGCCTGATGACCAGGTTTGATCACGGCCTTGGATAGACACAGGCCCCGGGAAACGGCTGGCCGGGAGACGCCCTGCATGGCTCGAGGGTGTGCCAGTCTAAGCAGTGCTATTCCCCCGCAGCCCCACAGGCCTGGGCCCCGCCTCCAGGAGTGCCCCCTGCAGCAGCAGGCCCCACAGTGCTGCCCCCTGCAGGCCTGTGGCGTTACCATTCTTCAAGAAGATGTAGAGCAGGATGATGCGCGTCTTGTCGTAGGCCTGCACGCTGGGGTCCAGCAGGACGGGCAGGATGATCTTCATGGGGTCCTTGATCACCTCCCCGTCCACGTCCGTCCCCATGGCCAGGTCCTGGGGGATAGGGGGGCGCACACACAAGGCCCAGGTCAGGCCGCTCCGCTTCCTCCCGCCCCACAGCGGGATGGGAGACGCAACGGCCCCACGACCCACAGCTCGCCTACCCCCTGTGCCAGGGCCCCCTTCTCCCTGGGGTCAGCTCCCCCTAGGGTGAGCAACATGCCCCCACGGAGTAACCCGAGCCCCATGTCCCTCTTCTGCACCCCCGGTGCTGCATGGGGGGTTGGCCCTGGCTCCAGCGAGCCTGTGGGTCTGAGACCCCTTTCTCCGGGCTCAGTCCATGAGCCAGACTCTGCCCCCCAGCCAGGCTCTGCCCACAGACCCACCTGCTCCACGCTGCACAGCTTCTCCACCGTCCCTTTGAAGTGCCGCATGCAGTGCTTGGCCAGGTTCAGGTGTGTGGAGTACTGCGGGGAGAGACCGGGACAGGGGGGAGTTTACTGCGGCACTGCATCACCGGCTGTGTCCAGAGCACCCGCACCCTCCAGCCCCCAAGGAGGGCCCCTTGGCCAGAGGGGCAGCCCCAATCGGCTGTGTAAGCCGAGTATATCGGGATTGTTTTGCCCAGCACTGAAGTGCAGCCACCTCTGGGATGGAGTGGGGCAGCTGGAGGGGAGGATCAGGAGGAGGGAGCAGCTTCCAAAACAGCCCACGGCTTCTCTGTTAGTCAGCATGAGGTTGGGGGCTTGGAGACCATCAGGTGTCGGGGTACCTGTGCCAGTGGCCAGGAGCTTTCTGTTGGCACATGGCCCAGTGGCACCAGGAGTGGCTCCAATGGGCTGGTTTGGAAGCCCACCAAGGCCCTCTCCGGAGAGCTGCAGCGGCAAGGCGTGGGCGTTACCCAAGGGCTGCCATTGCTGGGGCTAACATGGCAGCTCTGGGCACTGACGAGCAGGCTGCTGCCCATGGTGCCACACAGCACCTGGGGGGGGAAATGGCTCTGCCCAACGGGACAGGTCAGAAGCTCTCATCAGGCAGTAAAGTGGAGTGCCCCAGAGTGCCCTGCCCCCCAGAGAATCCCTACTGTCCCTCACCAGCCCCACAGAGCACCCTGCCCCCCCCCATCAGCCCCACTGAATGCCCTGCCCCCCGCCCACTAACAGCCCCAGCCCCGTTACCTTGTTCAGCTCTCTCTGGTACTTGGGCATCTTCCTCAGGATCTGGGACAGATCCTGGATGTTGGCCTGGAGGGAGGAGGTGGTGAGATCCTGGCCCCTCCCAGCACACAGAGCCCCCTGCAAGGCAGAGGCCTTGCCTGGGGACAGCCGCAGCAGCGCAGCCACGCATGCCAGGGCGGGTCACTCAGGCCACGCGTGGCTGTGGCTTGGGTTAGACCTGATCTTCCCAGGCCAGCTGGAATGAGACGGGAGCCCCGCAACCCAAGTGCCCCTTGAGGTGTAAAGCGGCAGCGGGCCAGGGAGATGCCAGCGCTGGCTCCCTGCAGCTTTCCCTGCGCGGCCCTGACCTGCTTTCTGACCCCGCCCCATGGGCCTCTGCCCTCTCCCCACCGTGCGGAGCTCCAGAGCTCTGGTTGGGGGGGCAGAGGGCTCCACATACACCTCTTAGCCATTTACAGGCAAACCCAGGGAGTAATTGGACAGCCCCCCCCACCAACCCCTCCTAGGACAGCAGGGCAGCCTCCCCTCCCCATCAGTGGCAGTGGGATGGGTTCCCCCATCCCGGACTCCCCAATCGCTCCCGCCCAGCCCCTGCCACACCTTGTCCATGGTCAGCCTCTTGCTCTCATAGAAGGTGCGCAGCAGCTCAGTCACCTTCCTGCAGCAGGGAGAGGGGTCAGGCTGGAGCCAGGCACTACCTTTGTCAAGGCTGCTTCCCCACTCTGAACTTTAGGGTACAAATGTGGGGGCCTGCATGAAAACTTCTAAGCTTAACTACCAGCTTAGATCTGGTCTGCTGCCACCATTCCCAAAATGCTAATTCCCTTCCCTGGGTAGCCTTGAGAGACTCTTCACCAATTCCCTGGTGAATACAGATCCAAAACCCTTGGATCTAAAAACAAGGAGAAATTAACCATCCCCCTCCTTTCTCCCACCAACTCCTGGTGGATCAAGATCCAAACCCCTTGGATCTTAAAACAAGGAAAATCAATCAGGTTCTTAAAAAGAAGGCTTTTAATTAAAGAACAAGGTAAAAATCATCTCTGTAAAATCAGGATGGAAAATAACTTTACAGCGTAATCAAACTATAGCGAGTCCCGGCACTAGGCATTGGGTGGGGCACAGAGTGGTGTGTCTGGGGGGGGGGGATGTGTCCCAGCCCTGGGTGGGGTACGGAGGGGCATATCCGGGGGGATGGGCGGGGCACAGAGGGGCGTGTCGGGCAGGACTGAGCACGCTCACTTGGAGACATCAGCGATGTGCATGTGGCGTAGCTGCACCCAGAGTTCATCGTTTTCATCCAGCAGCGCCTCCTCCCGCGAGTCGCTGGTGCCCGTCATCTCGTACCTGCGGCGGAGGGGAGGATGGGGTCAGGCTGCGGCACCCCTCCCCCGAGCGTGGGAGCTACAGAGCAGTGCAGGTGCCTGGGTCCCACCCCCCAACCCCGCCTGAGGAGGAGTGCAGGGCGCCCATGCTGGCAGCCAGGCCCTACTTGTAGATGTCATTCTCGATGCTGAGCAGGTTGTAGGCCATGGCCTGGTAGGTGAGCTCGTGCAGCAGTGGGGACATCAGGTCGAAGCTCCGGTCCACGATCAGCAGCTGAGAGCGGGCGTTGTCGGGGCCCTGGGGCAAAGGACAGAGAGACCCATCACCCCCTGCTCCGGCGGATGGTTCCTGGCCTGGCTTACATAGCGCAATTCAATGGGAGGTGGTGGGCCTGAAACTTCACCACCAGCCTTCTCTGCGGCCCAGCCCCCGACCCCAGGGGGAAGCCAGGAGATACCCCCCAAGCTAGCTGAGACATGCCCTGGGGTCGCGCCCTGACCGGCAGGGAGAGCTCCCCACCCAGCTGCACTGCAATGGCCCCTGTAGGGACGGGCCACCTGCCCCTCGTGCAAATAGCAATGGCCATTCCCCCAAGCACGCTCTCTGCTCGTGCCTCTGCACCAACGGGAGTATGCCCCTTACAAGGCAGCCCCCCGACTGCGCCCTGCCCCATATGCAGCGTGGGGAGGGGCGAACTACACCAGAAGGCCCTGGCTAGATTATCATTAACCAACACCAGGCCCAGAGACTCTTTGATACAAGGTCCCAGAGGGGGACAATGGGACGTTATCCCTATGCCCCATCTTGCATCTGAGCTCAGACCCCATATGAGGCTCTAGCTCCCCACTCCCAGTCTGGGTGGCCCCCCCCAGCATCCAGCTGGACAGAGACCACTCAAATGGTCAGCATCTCAGACCCACATCATTAGGGGCTGGCCCAGCCCCCGCTCCCTGCCTGATCAGTATGCACTGCCCTCTTGGTGCAGCAGGTGGCGATAGGGGACCAGCCCTGCTTTCCCATGGCAGACGGCTCTGAAACAGGCTCCAGCAGCTCCAGTGGAACCCAAGCCCACCCAGGAGCACCTCGGCAAGGGGCTGTGTCTGCTCTTTGCTGGGTAGCACAGACAGTCAGGGGGGCCGGGGGACGTACAGCCCCTGACGCTTCCCCAACTGTCCCACCTCAGTACGTGGCCCGATTTTCAGCCACACTTGGTCTCCATAGCCTCTGGGTAAATGGGTTGAGGCTGACGGGGGAGCGCCTCCCTTGGAAGAGTATCTCGCCCCCACCACTGTAGCACTATCATTGCTGCATCCTGCATGGGGGGCATGCACGTGGGGCTGGGCAGGGCTGTCACCCCATTGCAGAGGGAGATGGAGGCCCAGAGAGGCTGGGTGACTCACCCAAGGTCACACAGGAAGTCTGTGGCAGAGCGGGGACATGCACCCAGAGCTGGCGCCATCATTCCTCTCCAGCCCTACCCAGCCTGGGGGGTTGTTATGCCCAGCAACCCTCTCGGACTTTGCTCACACCTTTGCCAGTTCAGCTCTGCTGGAGGGATCCCCGAATCCAGATGGGGGCTGGCGTAACCACCAGGTCACCCCACCCTGCCCAGAGCAGAGGGGTGGTTAATGCACTGGTGAGTGCCACAGCACTGCCTGGGCCAGCTACCCCTCAGGGCTGGCAGCTGGGAAACATCAAGGCAAGAGGGACTAGTGCAGACAAGGCCCCAGGGCGCCGTGACCACGGGCTGGGTGGCTTTGGAGACCTGACTGCTAGAGGCCATGCTACAAGAGTCCCTGGGGTTCTGCGCCAGCTGGCAAGGCGGGGGCACACTGGACTGGCCAGCCGGGATTGTGCTGCATGGAGCCAGCATTGCATTGAGAGCAGGGGCTTGAGTCAGCACTCCCGGCCCTGCGGTGGGCGTGCTGTCTGGATTCTATTGAAGGGTCTGGGCAGTCAGGACTCCTGGCTCCTATTCCTGCCTCTGCCACCTACTCCTGGCACGCTGCTCCATGCCTCAGTTTCCCCCATGTAACATGGGGATAGTGCTGACACCTGTGACAGGAAGCCTTGGCAAGAGTCTCAGGAATATCCCTGGGGGATATATAAAACCCTCAGAGCAGCAGGGTTTGCACGGAGCAGGACTTTGCCCTCCCCAGCGCCACTCTCAGCTCCTGAGAACAGCACAGATCAGACAGGGGCTGTAGGCTGGAGCCAGCTCTGCTGCAGCAAGTAGCTCCGGTGGTTAACAAGCATGTTGTCAATCCCTTCTGTGTGTAGATGGTTTGGGCAGCCAGGTGTGTGCCAGGCTCCCCTCTGGAGGCAGGCCTGTGCTGCCAGCTGTGAGTTACAGAGCGTCTGTGCCATGGCAGCCAGCTATCCCAGAGGGGGCCCCCCTGCCTGAGACTGGTATCATTATCCCCATTTTACAGATGGGGAAACTGAGGCACAAATAGGGGAGGTGACTTGCCCAAGGTCACCCAGCTGGGAATAGAATCCCGGTCTTCCAAACCAGTCCAGGGCTCTACCCACTAGGCAACACTGCCTCGGTGGATGGGAAAGTAGAGAGGAAAGGTGCGCTTATGGATCCACAGGGTCGGTGCCAGGCCCCAGCTGGGGAAGTCTCGGGAGGAAGCCCTTTGCTGTGCCAGACCCCAGCAGATCTCTCTCTTCCTCCAGGACAGGCCACAGCCTCCCCACCTCCTGAGACCGAACCGCTGAGCTTCACTCCGTGAGCCCTGCCCAGCGAGTCCAGCTGAGACAGACCGTGGTACAGACCTGTCCCCTCCACAGGGCCCGACGCCCCTCAGCCCTGGTGACAGGGCCACTCCCCCACCGTTGTCAGAACTGTCGGGTTTCTTCGGCACCTGGACCCCAGCCCGGGCAGCCCAGCCCACTGAAGGTTAAAGCAAGAGGCCGTTCTGGTCAGCCCAGAGCCCGGCCAAGCTGCAGCGAAACCTGTTTTCAGGCTCCGGGTCTCTCGCTCAGGGCCTGTCTACATGTAAACCACTGCAGCTGGGCTGCTTCAGTGATGCCACCTTTCTCATACCCCCGAGCGACGCAGTTACACCTACCCAATTGCCTCGTGTAGACCAGGCCTCAGTCTGACCTTGGTCAGTTCTCAGGTGAGAGCTCCCAGCTTCCCCCACTCATCCCCTAGCTCAAACCTTCCCAACCCTGCGTTCTCGAGCTGGGGGCCCTGCTCCGATTCCCTGCTGGGAGCGTCCAGCCAGGAGCCATTGGAACTGGGACGGTCTTTCTGGCCCCCAGGCTGATCTGGGTTGGATTCTCTTCATTTCACCAAGACAGGGAGGGGACACCCGCCCCGGCCCGCCATGATTCTTACCTTCCCTGAGAGTCCTTCCCCCCCACCCCCCACCAGAGAAGCCATGAAACATATAGGGGAAACCGAGGCACGCATCGGCTTCATAAAAGATATTACAAACATTCCCAGTTGGTCACAGGTGCACAGTCTCCCAGCAGCTCGGCAAAGGCTGGAAGCAAGTGCAGAAGCAAGAGGACGAAGAGATCTGGGCAGGTCTTGGATTTTACATCACTTTGCTTCTCCTAGGGGGACAGGAGCCACTGGGTTTCCCATGTGAGAATCCAGGGCAGGGTGGGTTTGCAGCTCCCTTCTGCTGGGGGTGGGACGGGGACAGCAGGAGCTGGGTCAGGGCTGACTTGTGGCTAAGGCTCGGGAGAGCTGGGTTCTACTCCTGCTCTGACAGACTCCCTGCATGCCTCAGTTTCCCATCTGTCACACAGGCCAACCTGCCTCCCCTGGGAGGCTGAATTCATTAGTGAGGTTCCAATACCATGGGGATGGGTGTAGGAGCACACACAGACAGGAGTGTCCAGGTGTGGAAGAGGCTCTGTGTGCGAAGCTTACTTCTGTGACCGAACTGCCCTGTTTATAAACAGAGAGATTGTGCTGGGCACACACTTCCCCAGTCGGTGCCTCGGTTTCCCCATCTGTACAGAGGCCAGCATTAGGCCTTGGCTACACTCGGGGATTAACAGCACTGCCGCGGCAGCGCTGTGAAGCGCGAGTGTAGTCGCGCCGCCAGCGCCGCTGCAAGTACTCCACCTCTCCAAGGTGAATAGCTTGCAGCGCTGCGAGTGAGCGTGCAGCGCTGCAGGCGCTGATTACACTGGCGCTTTACAGCGCTGCACTCGCTGCGCTCGGGTGGGGGGTGCGTTTTCACACCCCTGAGCACAGCAAGTTGCAGCGCTGTACAGCACCAGTGTAGCCAAGGCCTTAGAGAAGGGCTGGGGCCGTTAGTCCAACCACACAGGGAATGCTATTGTTCTGCCAACCCTTCAGGATCTCCAAGGGGGTCTAGACCCCACCCGTCCCCCCGCCAGGATCTCCGAGCAGGTTCTAAATCACTCCTCCTTCCTTCTACTTCTCATGTGCTCCCCCGCCCCCTGCGGCTCTGTCCCATGGCGAGGGCGTGGCCGGCACAGCTCGCTCACCTCTCCCATGCTGGGCTCATATACCTTGAACACCTTGAGTTTGGCTAGCACAGCATGCGCCAGGTGGAAGTTATCTTCATGGTCCCTGCAGCAAAGACAAACCCTGTGGGTAGAAACAGCTCCTCCCCTAGGGGCACACGCACTTCCTGTAGGAGATGACTAGGTACCCATCTCCTTCTGGGCACACTCACTTCCTGTAGCGGATGGCCGGGACCCCTCCCCCTGGGCACACTCACTTCCTGTAGCAAATGGCTGGATACTCCTCCAGGGTTTCACACAATGTGGCAATCTGCTCTGCCAGCATCGCTAGCTGCTCGTTCTTTTCCAAGGAACGGTGGGGGCTGAACCACTCGTGGAAGATCTGTGGCCTGTCGAGGGAGTACACCTGGGGGGCGGGGGGAGCAGAGATCACACCCTGGTGCCAACTGCTGGCAGCCAGGCCAGCTGTGCCCCATACCGCGCCCCTAAGATGTGCTGTTGGACCAGGCCAGCCTGGCGGAGCCATAGCAAGCCCCTAGTGAGGGAGAGATCCCTTTGCCGGTGCCACTCCTGTTGTGATAGAGGGACAGCGGCCCAGAGATTCATGTACCAGCCTGGGATGAAGACGCCCCGGCTTCAGGTCCTTACTGAGCTGCAGACTCCGGGGTGCTCTCAGGGGTGTGTCTCTGCCCTGGAGAAGTCAATGTTGGGGGAGGGGGCTTGGCCACGCTTCTAGTCTGGCAAAAGCCCCAGAGTAGTCACGGGCAAACCCGGCATCAACGCGCATCTGCCGCTGTTGCTTATTTCACTGGCCGAACAGAACGAGCCATTGGGGCAAACATGCTTGGACACCAATAAAACAGTATCGGCCCACGAAGGCTTTGCTGGAACAACGGACGGGTGAACCAGCAAAGCCTTCTGACGGACACTCAGCTTATACCAGCCAAAGCTTCTCTTGGCACAGCTGGCACCGGTACCCTAGATGAAATAAGCTACAGTGGCGAAAGGACTGCTTTGCCAGCGTAACGGCCTCTACCCAGGGGCTCTGCCAACACAGCTGCATCAGTTACAAGGGGGATTTTCTCTCTTATGTCCCTGTAACAAGCCCATACCAACAAAGCTTTTGGGTGTAGACCAGGCTCATGTCTCAGTTTCCCCACCAATGCAATGGGATTGACAACACAGCCCTGCCCCTCAGGGGCGTGAGGGGGGAAATCCACTGGCAACACAAGGAGGGGATGGCGTGGTTGGGCAAAGGGCAGGCGTGTGGCATATCGGGCTGTCTTGCAGGCCTGTTATAAACCATGTGTAAGAGCTGGTAAAGCCAGGGAGGCAGCGCCCTCCTCCCCCATACATCTAAGCCAGCGATTCCACGTCTCACAGGGTGTGAGTAGCTGGCTAGTCCCTGCTGCCCTGTGCTGGTGTAGGGATATTAAAGAAGGTACTAACAGTGTCACTTGGGGGAATCAATGACCCCCTCATAATTTGTCCCCCACACTTTAAAATCCAACAGTTTCACCAAGTACAAAAATCTCTTGGGTCTTCTGTTAAAACTTGTAAGCTACTGTCTGTAGAAACCATTGATTATTACTATGTAAAACTTACAAACAAGTTAATTGACTTTGTTCTTGAAGTAATTGATACAATGTAAACAAACACTATAAGCCCTTAAATGACTTTCACTTCATTCAACGGCTCCTAGGACAGACCCCCACCCTCTCTGATTAAAGGGCCAGGAGTCTCAACTGAATTAGCACACACCCTGAAAGTGGTGGAGACAGTAAATTAAAATATGGTTAAGATATGGAATGTATGCTGATGAATCCTTGATATACATGAATGGTTAGGGAGGTGCCAGCCTAGAAAGGGAGTATCCATCGGCCGAAAAATGTGTCAAGTGGATGATCAGACAACCCCCGGAGGGTAAACTGGGATCCACCCCATCACCTGGAAGGATGAGAAACACAAACTTTGGACAGTTTGGAGCTATCAGGAATGTGCCCAGGAATGTGCCATCTGCTGATTGAGTCAGCAACAGCAGAATGAAACAGCTCCCATAGACTAACATAGGGATTAAATCCTATAAGAATGGACTCTCAAGACTGATGATTTTGAGTCTCTGGTTCTGCTGCCAACCTCCAGGAGCATTAGGTGCATCTGACACAGACTCGGTTCCATCCTCATGACCAAGATACCTGGCCAGTAACTTGGCATGAGCAACTTCTAGGCTGGTAACTATAACACCTATACAGAACTTGAATGAATAACTGTGTGAATGAATCTAATCTATCTATATAAGGAATAAGTAGTCAAACAACGTTGTTTACTTTTATCTTTTGCTTTACCATTATATTTCCAATAAATGTGGCATCTTTGCCTTATCCCTCTTAATAAGATGCTGCTGGTTTTTATTCTATTGGTATAACACTGGCATCAAACCCAGGGCCCTAGAAGGGAAAGGTGTCCCCGCCCGAGCGATGTGGAACACTAAGGTTGGGGTATCGTACGTCACCGTCCGCCCTGCGGCCCTGCTCCTCCAAAGCCTGGCCACCCCTCACCTGGCTCTCGTAGGGCAGGAAGGCCATGTTGATCTCTTTGAGGGTTTTGGTGGCCTTGGTGATCCTTGACTTCTCCAGCATCTTGAACAGAGGCTTAGGACAGGCTGCAAGGCGAAGGCAGTGGGGGTGACAGGCACAGGGCTCAGGACCCCCAGCACAGCGCCAGCCCCCATGGACGGGGCCAGGACGGGCACAGCAGGGGCAGTAGTGCTGCACACCTGTGGGGAACCTGGGCAAGCCAGCAGGGCCACACAGGAGTCAATGATGAGTCCAGCCCCCCCGAACCAGAGTCACACCGGGTTCTCAGCTTCTGCAGCATCAGCAGCGAGGGGGGAGCACAATCTCTCCTACCCAGCCCCATCTCACACCCTGCCCTCAGCCCACTGCAGGGGGAAGTGACTGGAGTGTACAACTCAGCACGATGCACAAGGAGGAACGGGGACTTGGGCTGTAATGGGGAGAAGCAGATGTGACCTTGACACACTGGGTATTCTGGTGGTGTCCCATTCCCCCACCCCACTTGGGACTGATAGAGCAATGCATGCTGGGAATGGTAGCCAGAGGCCACCTTTCTGGGCGCACGCTGCAGGTGTCTGTGAGCCGTGCTGGCTGGAGGCAGGCCCACGGGGGAGAAGGGGGGGAAGGGATCGGTGGGTTCGTTCGGTCTGGCCTGCTGGGGCTGCACCTCCCTGCAAGAGGGCAGAGCATAATCAGGGTGCTGTGCACTGGCCTGCTGGCAGAGAGAGAGACCCCCCCCCCCGTGCCGCTGGCCAGGCTCCCAGCTGGGGGATCCCCCACACCCTGATACTCACAGTTGAGGAAGAAGACGTGAGCCGCCTTGTAGGTGAAGGTGGGGGTGCCCTGGAAGTCATTGATCAGAGCCTGCACCGACTGCAAAGGGGGGAAGTGGGGGTTGTCAGCACCAGCCAAGGCCTCTCCCTGCTGCCCGATGCCCAGCCCCTGGGGACTCAGGGCCCAGCATGATACCATCGGGAGGTGGGCTGGTTTTCACCCCCCTGCCTCGGTCTCCCTCCACTCACCTCCCTGCTGCAGACGCAGGAGCCTCCTCCCACACAGCCCCTGCTACCTGAGCCTCTGCAAGTCTCCTTCACTTTGAGTCTCAGCTGAGGTTAGGGTGACCAGATGTCCCGATTTTATAGGGACAGTCGCAATATTTGTTTTTTCCCCCCCCTTCTATGGCCCCTGTTTGCCCCCCCCCCCCCCCCAACACCTGTCCCTGTTTTTCACACTTGCTATCTGGTCAGCCTAGCTGAGGTTGCCTCTCTCCACCTGCTGCACCTTCCCATCCAACTCCCACAGGACTGCATTGCAGAGACATGAAGCCCAGCTCCGGGGAAGCAGCCTCTTGGGGAGCCCCTATGTCACGGAGTGTGGGGGGACACAAGGCCCTGCACCCCCGGCTTCCTGCGATTCACCATGACTCTCAGACAGCCAGTAAAGCAGAAGGTTTATTTAGACGACAGGAACACAGTCCAGGACAGGTCTTGCAGGCACAGACAACAGGATCCCCCTCAGTTAGGTCCATCTTGGGGTCCTCGGGCACCCCAGCCCCCTTGGGAGGTCAGAGCCCCATCTGCCTCCCAGCCATATCACCAGCCAGCTCCTGAAAACCCTCCCTTCAGCGACCCCTCCCACAGCCCTTTGTTCAGTTTCCCAGGCAAAGGTGTCACCTGGCCTCTAACCCCTTCCTGGGTTCTCATGTTACATGCTCAGGTATTCTCCGTCGGTCAGTCTCCCATCCCCCAATGCAGACCATCCTAGCCACACTCCCCTGTCAGCATTCAAAGACCACAGTAAGAACAGTCCCAGTTTGTCACACCCTACTGGCCCCATTCCCATCCTGACCTTGTGCTGCGCATCCCCTGGACAGCGCCACCTCCAGGCAGCACTAGGTGCTGCCCCGGGGTCTCCCCTGCTCCCCATCCAGCTGCCCCAGGCCCGAGCTCCTACCTTCTCCACAGGGCTGAGCAGGTAGATGGCCTCCAGGCTGGGGATTGGCTCCCGGGGCTTATTAATATCTTCCATAACTAGGAGAGAGCAGACATTGGGCACGGGTCAGTGTGTCCTAGCCACCCGCCCCAGCCGCTCTCCACCGGATCGGGGGAGGGGAAGCCAAGGGGAACAGGGATGTTCGCTGGCAGACGGCTGGGGGGTTCCACAGGCTACAATGCAGCAGCTGCTTTGATGTGGGGCCATGCTGCCACAGTACAGAGCAGGGAGGGAACGTCCCTCTGTATTGTGCTGGGGGCACCCCGCTAGAGTCCTGGCTCAGCTCTTTGCCACGCAACCCCAGGGCTCCTCCACCCTGGAGCAGGGAGCCAGCATTCCCCCTCTCCTGCCAGGACCCTGCCCACAGCATGGGGGAGAAGCAGTGAGGAGTGAACGGGGGTCTGAGAAAAGCGGTGAAGAGGCTCCAGGGGCTGAAAGCGCCGGGCTAAGGGAACTAGACCTGGCTGGGAAGGTACCAATATCAAAGAGGGCATCTAGGGAGCTGCAAAGGAGGGAAACTAGATGCAAACGTGAATATAGACAAGTCAACTCCCTGACTGTGAGGTGTATCCAAGGGGGAGGGGAGCCCTGGCGGGGGAGCAGACGGGAGGGAGGGGCCACTCACGCATGATGCCTTCGTCCACGATGTCGGACATCGTGTAGCATGATGAGAGGATGCGCATGCTGGGGTGGTCCATGATCAGCCCCTGGAGTAGCGAGAGGGGAGCGCGCTGTGACGTTGTGCAGTCTATATGGTTTTATAAAAATATAAGTGAATGTAATGTAATTGGGATATGCTTCATGCAAAAGGTCTCTTGTAAGGTATCATTACAAAGCTCATAATCTACTGAGTGTGATCATCCTATTTGTAGAAATGTACCACTCTTGTATCTAAAACTAGAAATATAAAACATAATTCTGAGGGCCTATTGTAATTATGTAAAGTGTGGGCCATTAAGGATGGTTTGGAATCTTGATGACTCCCATTGTCTGCAGATGGCTGTATTTACCTTTGAGTCTTCCTGTATATGTGTGTGCTGGCAAGTGAGTAATGAAGTCTTGCAGTGACATGTGATCATGTCACCTGAACTGAAATCCATCTTTAACCTGGTGCTTTTCCAGTGAGGGGGGGTGGAAACCCAGAGGGACAAAGGGTTCCCGCCTTATGCAAAAGATATATAAAGGGGTGGAAGAGAACAAGGGAGAGAGGAGCCATCATGGAGAATCCCCTAGCTAACACCTAAGCTGGAACAAGAGCTGTACCAGGGGAAAGAATTGTGCCCAGGCCTGGAAGGTGTCCAGTCTGAGATTATCTGTATTTAGTTTCATTAGGCATAGATTTGCACATTTTATTTTATTTTGCTTGTGACTTACTTTGTTCTGTCTGTTACTACTTTGAACCACTTAAATCCTACTGTCTGTATTTAATAAAATCACTTTTTATTTAGTAATTTACTCAGAATATGTATTAATACCTGGGGGAGCAAACAACTGTGCATATCTCTCTATCAGTGTTATAGAGGGCGAACAATTTACGAGTTTGCCCTGCATAAAGCTTATGCAGGGTAAAACGGATTTATCTGGGTTTAGACCCCATTGGGAGTTGGGCATCTGAGTGCTAAAGACAAGCACACTCCTGTGAGCTGGTTTTCAGGTAAACTTGCAGCTTTGGGACAAGTGATTCAGACCCCTGGTCTGTGTTGGAGTCAGACAGGAGGATCTGACTCAGCAAGACAGGGTGCTAGTGTCCTGAGCTGGCAGGGAAAACAGAAGCAGGGGTAGTCCTGGCACATCGGGTGGCAGCTCCCAAGGGGGTTTCTGTGATCCAACCCGTCACACGCGCCACTTCAGATGAGCTAGTCACTGCCCTGAGCCCAGCCGCCCACCACCATCATCCACAGGACAGCCAAGGGAGCAGAGCAACTGCTAACGGCAGAGCCGACGGCTCCCAGCCCAGCCCTTCCACAGCAGAGTGGCAGGGCCGTTACCAAGCCTGCACTTGGCTGAGCTGACTGTGCTAAGGACTGCGTGAGGAGCTGCAGGGAGAGTGGCTCCGAGCAGAGTGGCTGGTACGAGATGTAGGAGACAAACCTGGGACACCCGGCCATTCAGAATGGTTCCATCCTCCTAGACTGGAGGGGATCAGCCTCTTCGCCCAGGTGACAGGGCGAGTGCAAGAGGCAGGGACAGAACCCAGGAGTCCTAGCTCCCAGTGCCCTCCTCTGATCCACCAGTTACCCCCCCGCTCTTGGACAGAACCAGGATCAGGGCACAGAGAAATGGAACGAGGGGAGTCTCCGTGTTCCCCTAGGAAAGCCCTGTAGGCCATCGGCCCAACATCTCTACTGCCTTCCTGCCGTGCCGAATGAACCCATTGCTCCGTGCAGCCCAGCATCCCGCTGCACCAGATCCGGCCACTGGGAAAGCTAGTCCCGTGTTCCCTTTTCCGCACCGGCCAAGCCCACTGCTCCACACACCCCAGCTCAGTCCATGCCAGGGGCTCAATAATCTGCCTGCCCAATGGTGCATACTGCCCCCATGCTTGGCGCTCTCCTGCTCCTCCTCCCACCCAGGCTGGCTCACTGGGCCCAGTGGTCTGATCCGGTTGTGTGTGTGTAGGGGGGAAGATCTGGGGCTAGCTGGACAAGCTGGGTCTGATCCAGCGCAGCGGGAAGGCAGACATACCCAAGCCTAGCTGGAGATGGATGATCGGCTAGACAGAGCAGGGATCTGATCCAGCCTGGAAAACCTCAGGTTCCTAATGAAGCCCAAGAGGCTGGAGGGGGAGGAGCAGGATATATGGATACAGCATATCCCCAGGGGGGGCACCATGGCAGCAGGCGCGGCCTGCTTATCTTCCATTCTCCTTCCTTCTTCACACTGCAAAGGAGAACGCTGAGGATCTCTGCAAGGGAAAGAGACAGGGATTAGTGGTGGGGCTCAGACGGGACGGATGTGCCCTGAGCCAAGACCCACTGGCTGGTGGAAGAACCCTTCGGGGAAGTGGCTCAGAGGCTGCTTTCAGGCCAGCTAGTGATGTGCTCCTAGCAGAGCCCCCGGTAAGCGATCATGGTGGGGTGGCAGGCTAGGTGGGCCATGGCTTTGATCCCCTTCCTTTCTGCCAGGCTGGATACGAGCGCAGCTGAACTAAGGATCTGGCCCTGTGCAGCAAGAGAATAGATCCAGTCCAGCACCTCTTGACTGGAGGGGATCCAGGGACCCTCTACTGTGTGTGGGGGACGACAACACGACAAAGACTTCAAATCCTGAGTCCTGCACATAGAACCCCTCCAAGGCATGCCCCGCTCAGGGAACTGCCGGCCTGTCTCCTGGGCACCTTCCACGGCCAAGCTAAGCAATTAGATAGTCAGCTCTTCAGGCCAAGCACCATCTTTTTGTTATGCCCAGCAGAATGGTACCCTGACCCATGACTGGCGCTCCTGGACGCTACCGTAATACATCTGTTTGTTTTGCCCCTATCAAATGCTTCAAATGGGGCTGCAAGAAGTGTCCGTCCACAACATGGTGCATTGCCAAAGAAGCAGAAACATCTGGAGCTCTGGCCACATGGCCCAGTGCCCACAGCCCAGATCATTACGGAGCAGCCAGAAGCCGTGGTCAGGGCCCTATTGCACTGGTGCAAAACCTACAGGCCGGTCCTAGCCCTGGGTGGTCACACTGCAGACAGAGATGCTGCAGGACACTAGGGTGCACCGATCTTTAGCTCAGAGAACAATTTAGAGGCTAAGGAGCCCCAGGCGAGGAGCCCAGCTCCTCCTTAAGCCCAGTTCCCCCTGCAGCCGGGAGGAAGAACAGACACAGAGCCCCGGGAGAGGAACCCATCTCCCCCTGTGGCTGGGGGCGGGGGGGGTGGCGGGGACAGGACACAGAGCCCTGGCTTTGGCTCGCCACAGCTAAACCACCCTGCAAGCTCCCCAACTGGGGCCTTGCTGCTCGAGCTGCGACATGGAGGTCAACCCACCCCAGAAGCAGCCGGTGAAAGAAGGTGTCAGGACATAGGTACAGATGCAGTAACACTGCCAAGGGCTATTGTGAGGGTTTACGCCCCTCCTTACAGGGCAGCGCAGCCTAATGGTCAGAGTCCATATAACCACCCCTGGTTGCAGGGCCGTAGGACCTTACTACTGGCTCGGAGGGGGGGTCCTACCGAAACACGCTGAAGCTTACCAGGGTCAAGGTACCAGTCCGCAGGGCCGGCTCCAGGCACCAGCTTAACAAGCAGGTGCTTGGGGCGGCCAAGGGAGAGAGGCAGCACCTGCGGCAATTTGGGGGCGGCAGGTCCCTCACTCCCTCTAGGAGCGAAGGACCTGCCGCTGAACTGCCGCCGCTGCCGATCGTGGCTTTTTCCTCCCCCAAATTGCTGCTGCTGATCGTGGCTTTTTTTTGGGGGGGGGGGGGCGCGCTTGGAGCAGCAGAAATGCTGGAGCCAGCCCTGCCAGTCCGTCACCTCCCCCGGGTCGCTTCCTACCGGCTTGGGAGTTGGGATCTCCCACAGGTCCCAGGGTTCTCCGCGAGTCTCCGGATCTGTCGCCTCCTCTGGTTCCTCCCGCAGTAGGGGTTCGTGCCGGCCTGTAGAAGCCTCTGTTCCTGGCAGCTTCAAGAGCATTGGCTGGTCCTCTGCAGGAGCTTCCCAGTTAGGTGCTTCCCCTGCGGCCACCAGTCCTGACTGAGCTGAGTTCCCTCCTTTTATACTCAGTGAGCATCTGGAGCATGCCCAGTACGAACGGGGCGGGACTTCCTCTGTCAGAGCTACTGGTCTGACGCCGCTGGGGCTAGTGCGGGGTGGGGCGGCCCCGTCACAGCTATGCAAGTGTTAATGGAGTGAGACTCAGCCCCCCTGGTGGTGGGCATTATCCCCATTTTAGAGTGAGGAAACTGAGGCCTGGGGACCAGAAGTCCTTTCACTAAGGTTAGACAGTGAGTCCATGGCAAAGCTGGGAATAGGACCCAATAGCTCCGAGAGCCTGACCTGTGCTCCCACCCCACTCCCGGTAGCGGGTGTGCGCACTGCCCAACACACTATGTTTCCCCCATAACTCAAGCAATGCCTCTCCCTACCCCACCTCTAGCCCATCAGGACTTGGGCTGCTTGACCCTAAAGAGGCTCCAGGGGCTATTCTGCACCAGGATGTGCTGGCCTCCCTGCTGCTTTCCTGCAGTTCCTTTATACCTGCGGCACACAGACTCCCCGTTCACCAGGGCACGTGGGGCTCTAGTGCAAGGTAAAGGGCTGGCAGACATGAACCTGCTTTCTCCACACAACTCCGCCCAGGCATTTCGACCCTGAACTGCAGCTATGGCCCCCACCCCAGCCCTGGGCTTCCCCCACCAGCTGTGCCAGTGCCCCTCACTACTGACTGGAGCCCCCTGCTGCCCCAGCCCTGGGCTCCCTCCCATTCCCAGCTCTGCTGGTGCCCCTCACTCTTGTCCGCAGCCCCCTGCTATCCCAGCCCTGGGCTTCCACCCACTCCCAGCTCTGCCAGTGCCCCTCACTCCTGTCTGCAGCCCCCTGCTATGCCAGCCCTGGTCTGTCCCCCACCAGCTCTGCCAGTGCTCCTCACTCTTGACCCAGTCCTGGGTTCCCCCCCCCCACAGCTCTGCAGATGCCCCTCACTCCTGACCCGCAGCCCCCTGCTATTCCTGTTCACAGACCCCTCTTGAACCGGGGCACTAGGATTTGGGGGGAGCCATTTTCTTCGGCAACGATCATGGCGGCCGGAGCTTCGGCCGCCCCGGTCGCCGCTGGCATTTAGGTGGAGGGAGCTGGGGCAGTGGAGCGCGGGCAGGGCCGCCTGCAGCAAGGGGGGGGGGAGCGGCACGCAGGCGAACTCCGCGCCCCAGCTCACCCCTGCCCCGCCTCCTCCCCGAGCACGCCGTGGCTGCTTCACTTCTCCTGCCTCCCAGGTTGCGGCGCCTAAGTTGATTGGCGCCACAAGCCTGGGAGGCGGGAGAAGTGAAGCAGCCACGGCGTGCTCTGGGAGGAGGCGGAGCAGGGGTGTGCTGCTTCACTTCTCCTGCCTCCCAGGCTTGCGGCGCCAATCAGTTTCGCCTAGGGCACGAAACATCCTTCCACCGGCCCTGGGCCCAGCCCAAATATTCAAAAGTCACGTGTTTGGCCCTCCTAATTGTGCGATTTACTGAGGAGAAGCTAAGAGAAGAGCTAAGGGTTATTAGCACCACCGGCCGTCCTGAACTGTGGGCCACTTTTGCTCTGTCCCAGTTCTGGGGGCAACCATGGAACATCAGAACTGAATCCACTTTCCAAGGGACTTTTAAACCCCAGGTCTGTGGTCTGGATTTAGCCACAGGCTCCGTCCACTGCAGCTGGGGCTGGAGATTCAGCAGTGGCTTGGGCTTCTGAAGTAACACAGCCCACACAGCGGGTCAGGGTGTTGCCAGAAGACAATTACTAACACATAGCAACTAACCCCTCAGAGTCCAGCATGCACAAGGCAGCGGAGGCCATGCTGATGAGGTGTCAGGCTTTAACTTGTTCTCTCCTACATTACAGCTATAGCCTATGCCAGCTCTGCGTTGGGGCCGGGCAGAAACGTACTGCTTCACTACGGTACAAAGTGGCTATGACGTCATTTTTCTCCTCGCGTGCAGCTGTTACCGTTTTGACAGGCTGTTTATAACGCTAAGTTTACTAGTTTTCAGAGGTGGTCGGGGGGAGGAGAGGGGGCACAAGGTGCAAGTTTCGCCTAGGGCGCAAAATTTCCTTGCACCGGCCCTGGCGGGTGTCACCCCGATGGAAAGAGATGACGACGATGCCCCCCAAGGGATAGCTCCTATGGGAGGGGGCAGCCCTTGAGGGTGGGGCAGACACGCTCCTCCCCCTCCTGGTGTGTGACAGGCAGGCGGGGGGGAGCTCTCTGCTCCGACTGACTCCTAATCCTCCCCGAGGGCGCGACACCCCCACGAGCACCCCGCCCTGCCCTCCCAGGGCTCCCCAACTGGGCCCTGTCCCCCCAGACCCACACCCGACTGGATCCTGCCCCCGACCGGGCTCAGACCCCCCAGCTCTGCACTTACTCTCGCGCACCACCGCCTTCAACCCGGACGGGGTCATCTCTGCCTCCTCTCACGCCCCTTCGAGTCCTGTGGATGGAAGTGGGACTCAGCTGTGTGCGGGGCAGGGCTGGAGTCACGACTCCTGGGTTCTACCCCTGCTCTGCTCCTACCCTTGTGCGCGCCCTGGCTTCTCCCTGCCGTGCTCTGGGGAGTGTCTGTGACGCTGGGCGACGGCCCCTAGTGTCACTGATGGAGGGGCCCAGCCCACCCAGGGTCACTGATGGATGGGCCCACCCCCCATATCACTGATGGACAGGCCCAGCCCCACCCAGTGTCACTGATGAAGGGGCCCAGTTCCCCCTAGTATCACTGATGGATGGGCCCAGCCCCCCCCCCAGTGACTGATTTCAGTATAAAGCAACTGGGGTGCTGGTGGGTCAATGTCTGCAAGGCTGATGACGGCCGAACGCCGCAGCCCCCCACTTCTGGTGCTGCAGGGCCGGGCCTGGGCACCCATGGGCCTGCGCCTGGTGACAGAGCCACGCAGGTCCCCACTGAACCCCCACCTGGTCACGTGGGGCGCAGAGGGAGGCGGGGGCCTCGGGTAGGGTTAAAGCGAGGACTGGGTTGGGGTAGTGGAGCCTCAGTCCACTCCGGTCAGGGCCCCCCACCGAGCTGCAAGTCCCCCCCAACCAGTGCCCCCCCCAGCAGTGTCCCTCACCCCCCACCTCCACCCAGCCCCCCCTCAGTCAGGCTCCTCACCCCCGCCCTCCACCCAGCCAGGCCCCGTGTTGTACCCAGGAGCAGGAGCGGGTTCGATGGAACGTCTCCTTCCCTCGCGCGTCACTTCGACCAGAACGTGCTGGGAAGGCCTGAGCCGCGCACGCACAGTCACTGGGATTGACTGCACCACTCGTCAGGGAGCTCAGTCCCTTTCTGCATTTAGTGGCGGGAAAATACGGTACAGTCCCAGCAAGGGTGGAAAACAGTCTGAGGTAAAATTGTCCTTGGAGTGGCCAATGGCAGGAAAAACCAGTTGGATCCAGTTATGACTGGGCCATGATAACAGTAAACAACAAGATGGCGGTCACAAGATGGCAGTTCAGACTCCATCTTGGATTGCTGCTATATCTTTACAAACTACACATTGAATTTAATATACACATATTTTAACAGACTATAACCCTATAACAAAAACACACCCAGCAGTATATAGAGCAGTATAAACAAGTCATTGTTGGTATGAAATTGTAGTTTGTACTGACTTTGCTAATGCTTTTTATGTAGCCTGTTGCTGTACCCCCGGAAGACCT